AAAAAAAGGGAAGAAAAAAAGGACAACATTCAAGGTTAGTCTCTCGGTCTGGACCAAGGATGCAGGGCTGCAGAATTGGGGCCGTCGAACCAGCAGCACCGGCACTAACAAGCACTGCGCCCGCTTTGACTGGTAGCAGGTTGAGAAGCTGCTGAACCTCACCAAATCTTGATATCAAAGCAATCTGACGGAGAGATACATCAGGTACTTTCGTTAGTCTAGCATAATGTCATGCCTTCTCCGGTAGTTGTTGATACATAACGATCGTCACAATTCAAGGAGGAAATCCCGATACTAGACGAAATGAATGAATGCATGGGTGTATGTATGTATATGTAGGCGTGCCCTAATATTATCACGCTAGCCTGGTGCTCCATATTAGCTGGTCTGATGAAAGATAAGTGAGCTACTACCACCTTAGACCCAGGGAGCTTGCATCAGCTTGCATCCACTCCTATTATTGCTCACTAAATCCTGTCTTTCCCCCAATGATTCACCAATAAGAGAATCTCCATCCTGTCGTTCATCAGGGAAATGAGCTCTCCCAATCAGCCAGGTTGTTATTTCTTTAAATCTGCCCTGCTTCATGTATGTGTCCTGTCTGTACTCGGACTCCACAATCCACGAATATACTGACAGACAAGATAGACATACCTTTATCAGACAGGCATTTTATTCGGATTGTACCTGAGTGGGTACGAGGATTGGTATGGGACGGGGCGGGGGCAACAACTTGAACCAGGGGTGACAATTCAACGTTGGCTTAAGATTGGCTCGTTCCAACGGCGATGGCTCCATTTGAGCGCTTAACAAGGGGAAATCTGGGAAATTGTTATTCGTTCGTAGAAATAAAGATCTTAATAATACTGGTATTTCTTTTACCTTTTTTTTTTACACTTTGCTTTTTTCTTTTTTCTTTTTTTATGGCGTGCTGAACTCGACTAATTTCAGCAGAGGTACATACGTACGTACAGTAATTGGAAGGTCAAGTCACAGTTTGTTTAAGTAAGTAATACTCCACTGTCACCCTGCACCCTCACACCCTCACACCCTCACACCCTCCAAACTGCGCCCTGTACCATTCCTCATGATCAGATCAACCACAAAGATCTTCAATAGTTACCCTGATTCAACCCCCCATCTCAGTTATTTGAATATCACTTCCCGACTAGGTGACAACTCTCATTCCAAACCCCGTGGGTCACATCCAGGACGAAACGCCAAATAGTTTACAGTTATCATGGAGATCGTTACCAATTCGGTGATACGGGATCTTAAATTAACTTCCCCCTTCTAAGATCCCAAGCCCAGCACCTCCACTCTTGAGGTGTGTAGGATATCATGGCATTCATCCTATTTGTCTTCGTCTTACCGGAAGAACGATGTGTTCCGCAAATTTGCACCTTGAGCTCGTCGTGTTATATGCACTCTGCTCCTCTGACGATCTCTCATTGGATCAAACTTACATCCGTCCCATTAAGGTACCCAACCTAAGGATTGCGAAGTAGACCTGACATTAGGGACTCACGCTGTCGAAGTACCATGCTGCTCGGGATACGAAGCTCGGAGCCCTGAACTCCACCTAACTTTTCCTGGTTAATAGCCTTGAGTTTGGAGCTCCAGTATCGGTGCATTCTTACTCCTGAGCTCGCACCACTAGCCTAATCACCCAATCGTAGGCGCGAACTGACAGTCTCCGTAGTAGCTTTGCCCATCTCAGTCTCGGCGTTACCTCGTATCTTCTCTATGAACATACTCAATTCGCTAGAAAAGGCGGTACTGTTCCCTTTTCACTTAAGGGGTTGGGTTCTATAAAATACCTTGAACAGCGCTACTCGTCAATAGAGATGGTCTCAAATATTCTTGGGCCAAGGAAGCTCCCCGTAATATTTGTTGGGCATAGCAGTAATCAATAGCAGGGTCTGGTTCAGCAGATCAAATCATCCCGGCTTTAGATATAGTATGCAGCATGCATTCTGTGGATTTGTTGATATCCATATAGGTGGACTTCACGGCTCTTTATGCATCATATATTATCATTTAATTGATATCCTGTCATCCCACTACTCGCCGCCGGTAGAGGAGCCAGCATTCGCAGTTAATGCATTCCAAGCGGATTGCTCCGTACATTCATTCCATTGGATGGAAGGCATGTGGGGAGATGTGGGATGATCCGTTGACAGGGAACGTCACAACCTGAGGCATTCGATATACCCTACAAATGTTAGGCGCTTAGTTTGGAGAAATGACAATATCTTGGCAATAGTAGATACCTCCTCGGTCTCGGTTTTTTGTCTCTAGTGTTTGTTCCTACTTCATAGTCTCTATGTTGTAGTCCGACCGTGTATAGTACCTTGATTTTGGGATGGTGGAACAAACGTAGGTATATATAACAGTGCCCCCTATGTCCGTGTTCATTGACTACGACTTGAAAAAAGTACTCACTGTTGACTCAAAAAAGAGCGTGACAACTCATCTAGTCCATAGATGCCCCCGCTATTGCTAGGTATATGGTGTATGTACCAATCAGTCTTGAGCCGGAGCTAGAAATATGTGATCTGGCTTTCAATATGTGGATATCGTGATAGCGCCCTATTCGCTTACTGAACCATCTTGCCAAGTAAATACATCAAGTGGTCGCTGCTACTATTTTTACATGACAGGGATTGCCATTTGGTACTTGAATAGCACCAAGCACCGAGTACTGCACGGATAAAGAGCCCCGGCGCTTACGCGGACATAAGGCTACAGGGACAGCGATCAATTCCATAAATCCCGGATGCGATATCGGTTGAATACCGGTAAATCGCCCTGTCTACTTTCTGCAGGCTGTGCTCTGATGTCCCTCGCGGGAGGCTACAGTAGAGTTCATTTCCATTGTCATTAGATGTATTATTTCCCACGTGGCTCAAAGAATATAGCATCACACATAATGATACTTTGATGATATCTCTGAATAATTTTAACGGTACGTTAGGTGCCAGAGAATATGGCTATCTACGTGATGGTTTTTTTTTTTCCATTTATTTTCTCTGTTTGGTAACAAATGAACCCTAACTAAACGTCATTGTTTCTTTTTGGGGTTGAAATCTGGGGAAAACAAGCCCGCACGTGAGCCCTCCGCCACTCCACAATTTCACAATTGACCCGAGGTCTTCACATGCAACGACGCGATGCCGTCAGCATCAGCCATAATGTGACTTGTTCGGCAGATCGCTAAACTCGCCAACTTATCCGTGAACAAATCTATTCTCTTACTATACTCGTTCACGACCTTGACTGAACACACGCCATACAATACAACTCTCAGACGCGTCCTACTCAGACGCTTTCCTCATGGCCTATGTCGCCTTGGCTTAAGGAAGGGCGCTGTGTGAGCTACCCGCTCGACTCCAAGTGCCCCAGTAATTAAGTCAAAATGGCCGCCCAATCAACACTACGCTCACGGGAGGATCCCCTCGCCACGCTATATCACTACTACCTCAACTTGTTTCGTTCTCGGTTTAAGCGTTCATCGAAAACAACCAAGCTGATCGCTACCGTTGCGCTACTGTTCTCGATCATAGCAACCGGATATGGAGGGTACAAACGACTACGGCAGAGAGCGAAGGAACGCGCCCAGGGCAGACGGTTGTTACGACGAAACTCTGGAATTAGAGGAAAGGATGGGTCTCGCACCATATACGTGCCTTACAAAGACTCTCTGACATCCAAAGTTACTATCCACCCAACGAAACCTACGACATTTGATGCGCACCGGAGGCTATTCTTAAACCCCCCAGCTTCAGCTCGTGCTGGAGATGGCGAACCAAACCAGATCCCTCCACCGACAACTAAGCCGGGCCTGAACCTCGCTTTCCTTCACCAATTTCTTAGTCTTGGGAGCATCATGGTCCCTAGATGGGGTAGTAAGGAGACCGGTCTTCTCATGGGTCATGGCGTCTTTTTACTGCTACGAACGTACTTATCGCTGCTAATTGCAAGGTTAGATGGCGAGATCGTGAGAGATCTCGTTGCAGGGAAAGGCCGAGCGTTCATGTGGGGTATTGTCAAATGGTGTGGCATTGGCACACTTGCTTCGTATACGAATGCCATGATAAAGTTCCTGCAGTCGAAGGTGTCCATCGCATTTCGAACGAGACTCACCAGGTACATTCACGATCTGTACCTTACCGGTGATGACAACTATTATAAGTTGATGAATCTGGACGGTGGCATCGGTCAGGGTGCGGACCAGTTCATCACGCAGGATCTCACACTCTTCTGCTCTGCAGCTGCAGCTCTGTATTCCTCCATGGGGAAACCACTGGTAGATTTATTTGTCTTTAACTATCAACTGTACCGCTCTCTGGGGCCTCTGGCCCTTAGCGGAATCCTCACGGGCTATTTCAGCACTGCAATTGTTCTGCGCAAACTGTCACCTCCGTTCGGTAAGCTCAAGGCTGTTGAGGGCAAAAAGGAAGGAGACTTCAGAGGGCTTCACTCTAGATTACTTGCGAACGCCGAGGAGATATCGTTCTATGGGGGAGCTGACATTGAGCGAGTCTTTTTGACGAGAAGCTTCAAGGATCTTCAGCGCTGGTTGGAGGGCATTTACAGCCTGAAGATTCGCTATAATATGCTCGAGGATGTTATCTTGAAGTATTCTTGGTCTGCCTTCGGCTATTTGATTACATCTTTGCCTGTATTTCTCCCTGCATGGGGTGGCCTAGGTGGCGCCCTGGAGTTAGCCGATACACCTGAAACGGTCGGAAGAGAGCGGGGCCGTATGAAGGAGTTCATCACGAACAAACGGCTGATGCTGTCACTGGCAGATGCCGGTGGCCGAATGATGTACAGTATCAAGGATATTTCGGAACTGGCTGGTTACACCTCGCGTGTCTACACACTGATTTCGACACTCCATAGGGTTCATGCAGACGCATATTACCCTCCACGCGGCTCCCATGCGGAGTTGTACTCTCTAGCAGATGCTCAGGGTACCATCCACAATGGCTTTGATGGAGTGCGTCTTGAACATGTTCCAATCGTGGCACCATCTCTATATCCTCATGGTGGCGATGAGCTTCTTGAGTCACTGTCATTCGTCGTGCATTCTGGAGATCACCTTCTTATCTCTGGACCGAACGGAGTTGGCAAATCTGCTATTGCTCGTATAATAGCAGGTCTATGGCCGGTTTATCGTGGATTAGTCAGTCGGCCAAGGGGGTTTGGACTGGATGGAATCATGTTCCTTCCCCAACGACCCTACCTCAGTGTGGGTACGCTGCGTGACCAAGTCATCTACCCCCACACGGAGGTCGACATGCGCGAGGGAGGTATATCGGACGCAAGTCTCCAAAAGATTTTGGATGATGCCCACTTAGGCTACCTCCCTACCCGCGAGGGAGGATGGGATTCTCGGAAGGAGTGGAAGGATGTTCTGAGTGGTGGTGAGAAGCAAAGAATGGCTATGGCACGTCTATACTACCATGAGCCCCGTTACGCCTTCCTCGATGAAGGGACATCTGCTGTCTCCTCGGACGTTGAGGCTTGTTGTACGAACGGGCCAAGGAGCGCGGAATTACACTCATCACGATCTCTACACGTGCGTCTCTCAAGAAGTATCACACGTACAACCTCACCCTTGGCCTGGGCTCCGAAGGCGAACAGTGGGAGTTTGAGCGGATTGGCACCGCCAAGGAGAAGATGAATGTTGAGAAGGAGCTGCAAGAACTCCGTAAGCGGCTGGATAAGGTTGATGAATGGAAACAACGCCGAGAGGAGATCGAGAGCGAACTACGTAAGGTTTGGGTTGAGGAGGGAGAGCTGGCTCCACCACCATATACGGAAGAGCCGGAGACAGCTGAAAGCCAAGAGGTCGAGGAATCTTCGAACTAATGTTGATTTTGGAACGGGGCAAGAGCAATGAGTATATAATGTCTTGTACGTATTGGTATGAGCTTGAGATCGAAGTCAGGGTGCTGTGGTGGCTGCCACCCACCACGTCTCACTATTCAATTGAAATTACGATTTACGTGATTTCTGGTAGTTCTTGTCTTTGATTCTACCTTACTGTAGTGGGATTGATCAATCACCATCATTCATTGTACTGAATGAATGAATGAATCGTTCCTATGGAGTCACATGACCACTGTCCACTCAGAAGAGGGCAAAGCGGACCATCGCATCTTGAGTTACGGAAATCAAAATAATAATTATTCTTACATCTATCAGAAGATCCACCCTTATACTTCTCTGAAAAATAAATTGAGGTCATGCGCTAGCTGTCCACGCAGTATTTTTTCTTCTCTTAAGAATGGCATGTCCACACCATTTCTAAATTAAAGTCCGATACTCCAATAGGGTGTCAGCCTCTTCCATTCTCTACTAAAATGTCCCTGCCACAACCACCACGCCTGGTAGAGGAAGGATACGAGAGCGAGAATGTAATAATAATCCCTATAGATGGATCTGTCAGCGATGGGGATAAATCAACGTGGCCCACTGAAGCCAGGTTTGGCATGCCGGATGATAGCTCTTACCGGGAGAAATTGGCAATGCTATGGCTGCAGAAAATTGGAGCCTTTGAAGAGGGTATGGATCACTTTTATTTTCTAATCTCTATGATAACTTTGTTGCCATCTATTGATTCTAGTAGCTATTATGGTCGTCCCTTCTATTGCAGCATTTTCCCCAGCATGAACATCAATCCTCTTTAGTACCAATTTTGCTCGCCCGAGTTCAAGATTCGCTGGCTATGCTTTACGCCACGCTGTTTATTTCAATGCTTTCAAATTTTCTTGATGTTGTATTGTGTATCTCCATTCACCATCTCGCCATATCTTGCCATTCGGCGCGTGAGATAGATCCTGGGTCTAAATTGTGCCTGTGGTTGATTTGCACTGGTTTCTTTGCCTCTTTTGTCGATTAAAATTCATACATGGTCTTCAAGTTCATTCTAGCTAAGCATTGATCTTCAGGGATGAGATATATGCTCGACCGTTTGCCAGACGGTTACGCCCTCTTTGATAGGCCGCGTGGGACGGACCCTACCATTGTAAGTCTTTGTCCTACTATCGTACAAAACCTCTCTAGATCTAACAGTATTCAACCCAGCGTGATAGATTCCTTTGGGGTCATCCAATTGGACAATACTTCCCTTCGATACTCCAGTTCTTTCCACACTTTTACCATCTGATGACGGGCGCGGTGGGACCTTGCCATTGCATGCTTTGTGACAAAGTAACAAAGCGTGAACAGGGTTCGGTGCTCCTTCAGTATTTTCACTTTCAATCCTTTTCGCTAATGTACTTCCAGCGATGCTAAATGGTTCCCAACGAGGACGGGGGCGAGGGAGAGGGCGAGGGAGAGGAAGTTCCAATATTGCTAGGCCGGTCGACACGCTCCCTGGAGGGACACCACATCGGCCTCCTGGACGACCTCCTGGACGACCATATGGTAAATTATCTGGTAGGCCACCTGGGAGACCGCCTGGTAGGCCTGCTGCGGCCGGAATGCGTGCTCTCCTTGACAGTGAAGGAACACCGGACGTGTTCAAGATGGCCGTCATAAGGCTCAAAGAACGTGGGGTTCTGGATGAGAGAATAAAAGAGAATGAGAGTATGGACTGGAGGGCCGAGAAGGCGGCACTTGACGAGTATATTGAGCAGTTAGGCATGCAGCCTTCCTACGTGCCTCGACCCGGAGAAGTCGTACTCTGGGCTCCGGAGTGTGAGGGGGAGCTAGCCTGGAACCACGAAAACAAGTGCATCGAAATGTACTCACCCAATGAAGACCGATGGTTAGGAACCCCCGAATGGCGGGCTGGTATTGTAGGCCAGACTCCAGAAGAAGACATAGTCCTTCAGGACTTAGTCAAAACAGCGCCCAAAAGATGGGATGTCAACTACTCCGGCTTTCGCATCGAAACCTTTCCTGATCCTCAAAGTTATGATAAAAGCTACTCGTTACACTACAAATATATCCGTTTGCAGTGTATCAAGCCCTTCAGTGCGTACGAGCTTTTTCTGCAAGGGATTCCGCCCGAAAATTTACATCCCTCCATCGGGTATGCGATGACGATAATGTCGTCGTTCAGTCTTCTGGACAAATATCACTTTAAAGGAACTTGGCCGAACGCGGCGATTTATTGCCGGGGTATTTTCATCGGAGCAGAGCTCTTGGTTGTTGGAGATGCTGTCCGCTTGAAACCAAATCGCCAGTTTTACTCATACGAAGACCATAACGCCGTTGAGGATGTTATGGTCATTGACGAAATACGCCTGGAACTTGTCAATTGCGTGAGCGATCTCATGTCGGGCCAACTGGCAGAGCGATATCAGGTTCGAATTGCAGGAAAGGTCTATACGAGCGCTTCCCTGAGATCTCGTGCTGGGACTGACGGGACGAGTCAACAATTACCCATGAGACCCGAGGAAGTCATTGACGTTTTTCAATCGATTGGCATGGGTGGATATGGGTCTTGGTACAGGGTATGGAACGGTGCAACGGTGGAAGTCTCGCAGAATATGATAATTGGCCGCTGTTACGATCCCGATGCTATGAACCTCTTATTCGGGTCTTGCTCTCTGGGGCTGGATCTGTCAGGGGTGATCAAGGCGAGGGAGTATTCACGGAAAGTCGATGAACGTATTCCCGAAGGGAAAGACTGGTTCTGGGGTGACTTTCGAACTCAGACTCTCGCGATTGATACTCTCAATGGCCAGGATGTGGGCTTCTACAGCGAGGTACGTGAAGTCAAAATGTGGGGAGCAAATCTCCGAATTCTCGATGGCACAGCAGATTCAGCCGATCTTCGCCTGGCCAAGCTTCCCGGCAAGGTTGGCCGACCCTCAACGAAGGCTCGGTCCAACTTTTCAGAGATCGGCAAGCTTAGCAAACTGGTCAGCACGGGTCTTGGGGCCGCGGACGTGAGCAACCCTGTAAGCTCCGAAGAAGGACCCAGCCTGCCAAACGACGACGATACCTCTGGATCAGATGAAGTTTTCACATTGGCCATGGACCAACTCCCCGGGGGAACGGACGAATCGGAGGGAGGTGATTACAGGCCAAGCCCTGGGCCCTAGGGTAAACGGCCGAAGCAGGATCTTTGATCACAGATACCTAGCGCAGGACCTAGGTTGACAATTGAATCAACTTCGATCAGGAGGTTCGTTTATGGGGATGGGCCACGGCGTCCTGGTCTTTACCATGCTGTTTTAGGTGAATATTGTAAACTAGGGAAGGATAAGCATACATAAATACGATTAATCTTCTACCACCATCTGTTCTGTCCCTATGTATATATTACATGTACATACTTCCGGATGCTAGTATCAGGTGTCTTATCACGCGATAAGAGAAAGAAATGCCGCAGATAACCGGCACTCTAGAATGCATCGGATTGGCCCGCCAGCCAAATACTACATTACCTTTGACTAAAAGGCGGGGAATATATATAAAAAAATTTCTTGGGAGGGGCAACAATACACAGTGCACCGACTAGAATCCTCTTGCATACTAATCAATCCGACCATCGCCTCACAAGCAACCGGACTACAATCGCAACAATGGGTCTAGACGGTGTACCGCAAGCCCAAGCCGTAACAGTGAGTCTCAACGACCTCATCAATGGTAAGCAAGCACCATAGATTCATATATCAACTTTCCTCTCTCTCTCTCTCTCTCTCTCTCTATATATAAATCCTCCACAACGAGAACCTACATAAAACTAACCTTCAACGCCAGGCACCGTCTCCTTCGAAACCCTCACCGAAGCATTCGGCCCCTCCTCCCTAGGCATAATCGTCGTCAAAGACCTCGACCCGGAATTCCAACGGCTACGCACCCAAGTCCTCTCCAACGCATCCTACCTCGCAGCCCTCCCCAACGACGAACTAGGTACACACCCAAGCCCCCTTCAACCAAACCACCCCCCCTCCCAACCCAAAACCCAACTAACCACCGACTAAAAACCCCTCCCCACAGAAACCCTAACCAGCCCATCAGCAAAATACCTCGTAGGCTGGTCCTGCGGCAAAGAAACGCTACGATCCGGCCACTTCGACACGCTGAAGGGATCCTACTACGTCAACTGCGCATTCTACCAGGACCCATCACTGCAAGGCGCCCCAGCCGACAACTTCCCCGATCTATCCGAGTACACGGCCCCGAACATCTGGCCGCCGGCAGAGCGACTGCCCACGTTCCGGCCAGCGCTGGAACAGCTCTGCACGCTTATTATCGACACGGCGGCGCTGGTGGCGAGGGCGTGTGATCGCTACGCGACGGCGAATATCGACGGTTACAAGAGCGGGTATTTGGAGCATGTTGTGCGGACGAGTTTGACGACCAAGGCGCGGTTGTTGCATTATTTTCCTGCGGAGGGCGGCGGTGCTTCCGACGGAGAGGGCGATGATGACTGGTGCGCGACCCATTTGGATCATGGGTGTTTGACCGGGTTGACTTCCGCGATGTTTGTGGATGAGGCTGCTAGTCCCCCCGCGGACGGAGCGGAGCTTGCTGAGTTGGGCGCTTCGCCGGATCCTAAGGCTGGGCTTTATATTCAGTCCCGGACTGGGATGTGGTTAAGGTTAATATCCCCAGGGATTGTTTGGCTTTTCAGACCGGGGAGGCGTTGCAGCTTATTACGAGGGGCAAGTTTAGGGCTGTGCCGCATTTTGTTAAGGGCGCGAAACCTTCTGGGGGGAGGAGGATCGCGAGAAATACGCTGGCGGTGTTCACGCAGCCGAATTTGGAGGAGGAGGTGGAGGGTGGGAAGAGTTTTGCGGAGTTTGCGAGGGAGGTCGTGGCGAGGACTTATTAGGGTGGTGTTGAGATGAGATGTTTTATTATGATGACTGGTATGTATATAGTTTCACATATTAAGGTTGCTATTGTACAGTTGAAGCTGGGTTATCCAGATATCTATGACAGCAAGCATTTCCCGCTTAGAAATTTCATCGCCGGGTTACGGCCCGTAGGGTCCCAAAGGGTAGGACATCTGCTATCCTCTTCGCGCCGGTGAAGAGCATGCAAAGTCGGTCGATGCCACATCCCCAGCCACCTGTAGCGGGAAGGCCCCATTCCAGCGCCTCAAGATAGCTCTCGTCGATCTCTGCAGACTCGTCTGCATTCTTGCTGTAGCGGACCTGGTCTTCAAACTTGCGTCGTTGTTCAGATGGCGAGTTTTCTTCCTCGTAGGTATTCACCACCTCCTTTCCCTCGATGAACAGTTCTCCCCGTGCAGCAACACGCTGGCCATTGACTGGATGGATAAAAGATTTCGACAAGGGCGATAGACATTCAGGAGGGTTGATGATAAAGGTCGGGTTTATGCACTCGGGTTCCACATAGATGCTGCAGAGTTCATCCAAAAGTCGGGGAAGTGTGGGAGCCTCGGGAATCTCGAGTGATAGGTCCTTGAACAGTTGTTTCACCTGGACCACGGCATCTGGGGATGTGAGATCTGGCAGCTTGCGGCCGATCTTCTCTTCAATGCCAGTGAGGAAATCGATACGACGGAACGGCGTTGAGAAGTCAACTTCGGTGGGCTTCAGAGCACCGTCTTTGTTAAAGTCGTGGATATGTTGTGCCATGCCAGACAGTAGACTCTCTGTCATAGACACAAGGTCTTCTAGGTTGGCATAGGCATGATAGAATTCACAAGTTGTAAACTCAGGGTTATGGGTCTTGTCGATGCCTATGGAACGTCAGTCGCCCATGATCACTTTACAGCAAAGCATGGAATAGATTGAGCGTAACAGACCTTCATTGCGAAAGGAGGGTCCAATCTCAAACACCCTATCGAAACCACCAACCACTAGGCGCTTCAGCCATAGTTCTGGTGCAATTCTGAGAGACAGCTGGCGGTCGGGAAATTCGGTCGCAGAAGTATAGAAGGGACGAGCGATGGCTCCACCGGCGATCGAATTGACGATGGGAGTGTTGACCTCCATAAAAGACCGATCGAGGAAGAATTGACGCAGATGCTGGATGATGGCCGAGCGTGCCTTGATAATGTCGGCCGTCGTTTGGTCTGCCAGGAACTGGACATGACGGGGGTATGGCGAGTTCTCGTGTTCTTTTGCGTCCAGGGGGACATCGTGGAGACAAGGAGACAAAAGCTGAGGCAATTCCGTGGCCACAACTGTGAGCTCTCCTCGTCCAGTGCGGTGAGGTCTACCTGTTACGGCTATGGCAAGGGTTCAGCCCAAGTGAACATACTGAAGTGGCGGGTCAGAAACGTACAGAAAGCATCACCGCGGCGGAGCAAACGGTAGAGCTTTTTAAAGGCGTCCGGGGTTATCCCAGGCAGTTGACGAAGGTTGCACATCACTTGAACTTTGTGGCCATTTTGCACGATATCGAAGAAAATCAATTTGCTTCCGGCAAGTCTATACGTACGTATCCTACCTACTAACCTAAGTACAAAGGACAACAAGGTAGAGCCGACTAAGGCTGAGACCTACCACGAACGACGACGGAGTCGCCTTCTACTGTTTCATTATTTTCTAGGTAGCTGTATCGGTCGCGGAAGTCCGAGCAGCTCACGGAGCGACCGTCTGCTGCTAGGCGAGGATACGGATCAGGACAGACATTTTGAACCTCTTGTAACCGTTCCTTGAAAGCCCTTTCGGGCGAGGCTGTACTGCTGCTACTCCTAGTGCTTATAGAAACAATGGAGGGATGGTTAATTGCTTGGGCCAGCTGAGCTCTCGACGAGTACGACCATTTTACACTGGTAGAGACGGGGAATCCTGTTCTGATCATTCAAGATTAGCACCGGATCAAAGCGATCATGTGCGTGAACGGAGAAGAGAAAACAATATCAAGCAATTGATATCCAGTCAGAGTCAAAAAGTAGCTTCCGTTGCGTTCATTGCCTGCAAAAGCAGGCATCATACTGCAGCGGTTCTGAATTGGAAGGGATCTGATTCGTCCTCGGATGGCTTTGCAGGGAGAGAGAAGATAATAAGAAAGGTACAAGTGATGGTTCTTACCTTGTCCAAAGTCTCCCGGAGACCAACTGCGAAGCCCACCTGGGGCGAACTGAATGCATTTGCAATGGATACGTGGTGGAAGACTACGAAGTCCGTCACATCGCGGACGGGAAGAGAGTGTGTGGGATTAAAAAAGCAGAGCGAGCGAAAAGCCGAAGAAAAATCGTTTGAAGGCGGTGAAGGTGGTCCAAGCTTCCGACTGGAACTTCCGATTAACCATCATTCCAGACAACATTTACCTCCATCCTCTATACCAGCATCACCCTAACTTCTCCCTGAAATTTGTCAGTAAAAGTCTATGGATTAGTTATTATCAAGGCTAATGGATTCCTAGTTATTCTCCAATTACCCTTTTAGTAACCAACACCATGTCTTTCCTCTTTGGCGGTGCCCCCAAGATGTCCTCGGCAGAGAAGATTGCTGCCGCTGAGACCGAAGTTGAGATGATTTCAGACATGTTCAACCGGTGAGCCCATTGATACAATCCCGATTCTCACTCAAGAGTACAATGCCTTGAAATTGCCTTCGATTTTCCGTTCACAAATACTACTTAATATTCAAATTGACAGCGATGCTAATGCCGAATCTGCTTAGTCTGACCGAATCCTGCACCAAGAAGTGCATTCCCAACGACTACCGTGAAGGCGACCTGAACAAGGGCGAGTCCGTCTGCCTTGACCGCTGTGTCTCCAAGTTCTTCGAAGTCAACATCAAGGTCAGCGAGAAGATGCAGGGCGAAGCCGCCAACAAGCAGGGCGGTGGTATGGGATTCAGCATGTAAATGGATGAGAAGTCTGCTGCCTCATGGACAAACCCCCCTTTCGAAACATAATTCATGTTCTTTTTACGCTCGAGTTTGCCTTTATGTTGCTCGTGTCAGGCGCGGATCTTGCCTTGGGTTTCAGAGATCATCATTTGCCGGGAAGTGTTGCATTTGGGTTTAGTTCTCAAGATTGTCGATTCCGGGGCACTCTATGCCGGCTGGTTATGATCGCAGTCTGCTGGATGAGTGCTGGGATGATAGAAGCGTTTGGGCCTTGGTCATGGTTCTGCGCACGGCATGGTTAATCAAATCTTTTCCATATTATGTACAATAGAAGTGAATATATATGTCACAGTATTACATTACAGGTGCCGGTTCAAAATCAATTACGAAGAGAACCCAGTAAATCTTCCTAACCGTGAAAGCCAGGAGCAGTTCTGCTTTTCTTCTTCCCCATGGACCAGCGTCCTAACCCTTGTTTCTATCTCCTCAATGTGTCTCTCGAACTCACCTAGCCCAGTCTCGACTTCCTCAACCTTAGACCCTAGGACATTAATCTCGTAATCTAGTTTTGCGCTCATCATCTCGACCCGCCTCATGTGGTCCGTAAGTGAGGAATGTTCTTCAGACAAGAGATCATTAGATCTTTCTCGAATCCCTTGGTATTGGCTGAGCTTCTCCATGTACGTTGCGGTGACGCTTTCATGCATTTCGTACAAAACTCGGTTCAGGTCATCCACTGAACCCACTTGTTTTTCAACCCAAGGAACAGTGCCCTCACTCAAGCCTTGAACTCTGGAGCTGAATATTCGCGCGTCAGACACTAGCATATCCTCTTCAGCAATAGCTTCTTCCAGGCTGGCGTCCGGGTTTTCAGAGTCTTCAACATTCCCTTTCAAGTCTTCCCATCCCAGTACAACCTCTTCGACAGTGCTGAACGACAGATGTCGCGGCCAGTAATTATCTAAATGCTCAGTGTCGTCTGCGCGATAAAGCTCAGCACTGCTATGCGGCCGGCGCAATGACATGATGCCAAACTCTGACGTCTGATATTCTGCGGGTGCGTCGGCTGATTGCGTCTTCCACCTCTCTAGATCTTGCGACTCCTCATCTTCCCGAGTTAAAGATACCTTCTGGGAGCCATCGGAGGGTTCGTTTGACGCTACAGGTTCAATTGTTATAGCTGGGAGTTTGACATCGGATGACTTTGGCACAAAAGTATTAAGCGGTGTTTCGGTGCTCAGTTCGTGAGGCTCGGTTGGCATCTCGTTGTCAGGAACGCTCTCAGGTTCGGGTTGTCGATCGCCATCAGAAGTGATCTTTGAAAGGGCTACCTCATTGTCACTCTCTAATGGAGGCATATAAACTGCGTCGCTAATGAGATCCGCATCATCCTTTGTCTTCGGGAGGTGTGATCGCAGGCCATCCTTAAACCTGCCAAACCCGGCTCGCGCATCTGACACTTTTCCACTGACGCCTCGTCGTACCAACCTGCCTATATTCTGATCTTTATCACCAGCGGTGTTAATTAGCTCGAGAGGTCTTCCTGGACGTTCCAACCCCGGATAAGAGCGTTCGGCGACCAAATCATCGTGGGAACTTCGTTTGCGACTGGTCCATAGGTATCCACCCTGATCATCGGTAGTAAACATCATGTCTGCACCTTGATGTCCTCCAGCAAAGCTATCTCCAACGCCGCCCTTGCGTGGTTTTCCTCTCCAGAGCCACTTTGCTCTTTCACCCGTGACTAAGTGTGCGAAGTTGTCAACATCTAGGGTTTCAATATCAGCGATGCCGCCCTTTTCCCGACCCCGCACCATGCCCATGACCATCTCGCCTCCATGGCCACTCAACTCGGCCATAGTTGACTTAACGGCATCGGTCCAGCCCTCCGCATTTGCGGCTTTTGCAGTGACCCGATGAAGTCGGTCCAATGTTTGACGGTCCAATCTCCGAGTCCGCTTCAACTTTTGGGATTTCTGGAAACTACTAATTCCTCTTTTTAAGTTAGAGATATCAAAGGCATCTTTGCCAACTGGAGCACCAAAAGCGTGAAGACGGTTTCGAGCCCCCATCAGCGTCCCTAGCAGCGCAGCTACGGTAGTTGGTCCCAAAACACTATCGCTGGGTTCGATATTGTATAGATCCATGCCAATGTCCGTCCACCAGTCGCCAATTGCTGCTTCTGCCACATCACATAAGATTCCATCGACATACTCCGGAGCCAGATTGCCAAACATCATCAAGGCAATCTGACACTGCTTCACAAGCTCTACAACGGCCGAATAAAGCGGGACTCTCTCGCTGGTCCGGTAGAGATGGTAGAACTTGGCTTCAGTTGCGGCCGTTGGTGGTTGTAATTTTAAACCCGCTCGGCCTGAACAGTTCAGCCGTTTCAAGTTTTCATTCACGATAAAATCATCCTTGTGCTTATGGATATCACCATCAGGCACCGGGATAACAGAAAGAGCCGAAGGAAATGTGCTCAAATCAGTTATGAACAGAGTTCCAAACGGTGTCTCTTTCCTGCGTGCTTCGCATTCTGTAACCGCATCGAAATATAGTTTTAAACGGGGAGACCAAGTGGATTCATCTGTAGGAACGCTTAGCAATCCCGCTACCACTTTGTGTGAAGGCTCTCCCGTATAAGTCGTAATTATAAAAGTAGGTTGAATCCTCGAACATGCCCATTGTTCAACAATGTATATCTCATAGCCCTGGAGAATCAAGCGTCGATGCAGCACAATCGTCGAAGGGTCTTCTTCAAGGTATCGGAGCGCGACAGGATCGGTGAAGACGAGCCTCTGATGACCAGGGAGAGACGGCCGCCCCTCAGGGTCATTCTGGGATGAAGGGCTTTCTTTGGGGGGAACCGATTGTTTTGTAATCTCGCGCTGCATGGTAGTAGTAGTAGAAGCAAGCGCAGCCTGTGCGCTGTTTTGTGTTGCGGATTGTGACATGGTAGAAACAAGAAGCTCCTACCGAGTTGGTAGTAAATGAAGGTTCATGTCCTTGAGGGTTGAACTGAAGAACCACGGGGAACGTAACCACGAGCGGTGTCCAGAGACCAAGCGCAGCGTAAGGGGAAAGAAAAGGGTTGACCCTCCTGGGGTCTGTGTCGTTCTGTCCAGCAAGCAGGAGAAGATCGTGACATATCCGAGGTGTGTTTGTGTGGAGGTCTTTGCGGGCTTATAGTCTGAAACGTGGGGACGAGAAGCGGGAATACGGGTCGGCCATGGCGTTTGTAGACAGCTTGTAGAAAGTATGGTCCCCAGACAAATGTGGTATAGAGAGGGGGTTCTGTTGCCATTGTCTTCAGCGACGTCACAAATGTCAATATTTATGGAAGCGGTGAGCGGCTAAGCCACAACAAATCTCAATTCAACCGTCGTCCAGATAATCTCATGACTTGATATTGATTGCTATCTGAGGCGCGCCATCACTAGTCAACATGTGAAGACGCTTCTAGCCCAGGTATAGAACGCCACATCTTCAGCGCCAGCCAGAAAAACAGCTGCCTAGCTGCATGTCAGCCACACACTATGTACCTTAAAGAATTAGGGGTCGAGTGCACCGCCACGTAGGCTTGGCAAAAGCAGTTTCCAAAAGCACTACTTAGTACGTAGAGAACCCTACTAAGCGCGACGGTAGTTCGTGTAGCCATCTATTTACATGCAATCTACAAGATTTGTAATATAAGAACTCCTCTTCTCTACAGGCCTCCAACATGGGAGGCAAACAGCAGTGAAAAGAAGACCGAGATTCTCGAGTACTTCCCAAATGGGCCGTGTCAAAGATAACACAAGACGCACTCTTAGACCGACTCATATAGAAATAGGAGTCAGGGCAGTTTGTTTTCAAAAATTCCCAGCCGACCCGAAGGCCAACTGGAGCGGTCAAAAAAATAGTTTTCAACTAGCAAAAACACGATCTCGGATGTCTCCTCACTGATACGTGTATTGCCCGTGCACTAGGATGGAGAGGAAAAGAAAAAAAAATTCTAAAGAATTGGCGGGTGTCCCGGTATTATATACACACGCCAAGACCTGACTGGCGCGCTAGCGTAAGCGAGCTGCTTATCAGGTAAGTCTTCGATTGTGATTGGTCATAATTGTAGTAATAGTTGGGTCACACATCCATCATCAGTACAGAAGTCATGGACCTCTCCCTCAGTGGTACGGAGTAGGTAGTACCCGTGATCTATCCATATAGTAGTTGTCTAATAATAGTAGTACAATCAAACTGGAGCCTGCCAGGTTGCAGGAGTAACTGGCCCTTGTATTACAGCCATGTTGTAGTCTACTCGTATATATATTTACGTGCCATTGAGAACAAATGCCAAGTTAAAATTCAGGAGGGCGCGTCTTTCGATCCATATTGTGTCTATTTACTCTGTACGATAGATACACCAATTACTACTAGTACCATGGCTATCTTGGCTACAAGTAACCAATTACGCTCTGGGCCCTTGCTCCGCTGCAGTCCTGGACAAGAAGAGCAATTGCTTCAGAAGGTGGTTCTTCACCTTGAGCTTATATACAGGATAGCGAAATTCGATCCGTAGACCAACTACATTTCCGTGGGCTTTGGAATAAAGGAGAGAGACACGACAAATACTTTCAAGTGTCATCCGTTCCTCACTGTTTCACAGCAGCCCCCTGACTGATACGTTGGCAGCGTTGTCAGGAGGGGTAAAGGGGAGGCATCCCTACTACCCCGGAACACGTGACAGTCCATGTCGTAATGCCGTCCCTCCGACGATAGAGCAAATGACCTTTCAACCGACTCACACAACCACCACTGCATGAACCAGATGACCTAGCTAACTGGATCTACCAGAGGAACTGCTACTTGGTATTCTTGGCTGCTTCAGCACATATCCAAATATTGGAACCTCAACTCTAGCTTCCGTATGGCTATCGCTATATCACGGCGGTAACTTGTCGGACTCCGCTTTTATCACACTACTCCCAACTTATCAGAAATCGCCTGCGTCACCACCATGGATCTTGTTCAGAAGGAACATGAACGACTTGGGAAGAAGATCAAAGCTGCTCAAGGCATCAAGAATGTTCAAACGACCATAGACTTACTACAGTCCGCACGAGATGCCATTGCTTCCGGTTGGTTCACCTTTCTTAGTTTCAGATGCCCACGATTAGCTTTCACATCCGGCTTAACACCCAGCCCAATCATGACCAAATAGTTCTTGACTACTTATAACTGCTTAGATCCGAGTCAGGCGTCTATGACATTGGCCAAGCTTCAGAACTCAGTGAAGTCTTCCTTCGACTCAATAAATGACAGCCTCAAGGACACTCATAGCAGCCTCAACAAGTATTCAAAGGCTTTGGATAAGGTATTGTCCCCCAAATCCCGGTCACAGAAGAGGCTGGGAGACCAAGAGCGCATTGCTTATATTCTCATTAGCTCTTTAAAGACAGGCCGCTCCCAAGTACCGAACACGATGCCCTCGCCTCCCAAGAGCACCTCATCAACCGAGCTATCGCAATGCATCTCCTCCGAGAAGGACAGTTTTCTGTCGCTGCAACGTTCCTTTCAGAAATGGCGGAGAAGAAGGCCATGGAGTCACAGCAACAAGCGGGCACGAGCGCCTCGGAAAATGCAGCGACACTCTTGGATATAGATGAAGTCCCGTCCAACGAGGTTCGGAAACAGTTTGCCACCATGTACTACATCCTACATGAAATGAAAGAGAATAACAACTTGCTTCCGGCAATCCAATGGTCGAGGGATAATAGGGAGGCATTGGAAGCCAGAGGAAGTAACCTTGAATTTGAACTGTGCCGGTTGCAGTTTGTTTGGCTTTTCCATGGTGGACCTGATAAACAGGGACCTATTCCTACGGGGCGGCAAGAGGCTTTGGAGTACGCCAGGCGCGAATTCCAGGGCTTCTTACCCAGGTATCTCCGGGAAGTCCAACAGCTTATGGGAGCAATGGCCTTCTGTCCCAATCTGCAAGATTCTCCTTACACGGCCATCTTCAACAACCCCTCTGCGTGGGAAGATGTGGCACACTCTTTCACTCGTGAATTCTGCTCTCTTCTCGGGCTATCTGCTGATTCACCTCTATATGTCGCTGCTACAGCCGGTGCGATAGCTCTTCCCACGTTGCTAAAACTGCAAACTATCATGAAAGCCAAGCGAACAGAGTGGACCACGGAAAACGAACTTCCGGTGAGTGCAGTCGGTGTCTTTCCTGTGCTATCTTCCACTAACTGTGTACAATCTAGGTCGAAATACCGCTTCCACCATCGTATCTCTTCCATTCCATTTTCGTCTGCCCCGTTTCCAAGGAGCAAACCACTGATGACAACCCCCCGATGATGATGCCATGTGGTCACGTCATCGCAGAGGAGTCACTTAAACGGTTATGCAAGGGCAGTAGATTCAAGTGTCCTTATTGCCCCAATGAAAGTCATCCCCGGGAGGCGAGAAAGGTCTTCCTGTAGGACAAAATAGATATGGGCTTTTCTGTTGCAGTATTTTAATGGCGTAATGGCGAGACATCTCTACACACATCAAGTTTTGGACTGCATTTGAGAATCGAAATCGGGAGCGTGGGCATGTTATGTTACCTGTGGCGTTTGGGGTAATGGCAACTTTCGGACTGGACATGGTTCTAGGGGCTATGCATATTGACAGCCCGCATATATCTTTATCAATGCTATGATTTAATTCCTGACTTCAATGTGATGTTTCAAAAGGTTCACGAACGAAACTCGTTCGATAAAAAAGCAAAAGGCTCGAGATGCGATTAACCCCACGTTTCCCTCATTGATGATAGATCCAATTCTCTTTCTAGTTTTTACCAGCGGGGAGATCTGTACGTGCACAGACACATGAAACCTGCAAAGGAAGAGATCGTCCAAATTCAATTGATGTATCAGTTTCCAGCCCAAGACGAAGCAAACAATTCGCCCATTGCGGTCTTGTTATCCACACTCCTTTTCCCTTTTCCGTAACGTAATTGGGCAATGGCTGCCCCGTGACTGCGCGGATATTTGGCGATGCCCGAAACCACTTTACGCGTGCATTACCCATTCTTACGCGTCTCCAATCATCATCGCAGATAATATTCTCGACAAAGACAAAAGGCGATATCCTTGTCAAGCTGATCTTAGCAAGATGGATGAATCAGAAAACATACAAAAGGCCCTGTTTGCCCCCGCGCGCCTTGGTCACACAATGAACTCGATTCCACCCCCTTTTCCCACCGTCCGTACTGACGGACGTTCATACGGAAGCAGTACATGTATTCTCCATCCGTTTCACAGTTGCCCCGAGCTTTATTAAGAAAAGGAGGCCCCTGAATCCATTGCTACCTATACTTTTCGTACCTCTCCCTCACGGCAAGAGAAATCATTTCTCTCAAACGCCGACCGAACAGCATCAGCGTAGCGATCCCGGAACAATGCTCTCCACAAAACGTACACGCACACCCCCCGGCAATCCAGATAGTCTATCTTCTAAGTATGGAGCCGGAAAAATCGTATCTCGGAGCAGAAAGCAGCTGCTCCTAAGGGACAGCCCGTCAGTATCGCGACGTCTAGACAGACGTCAGGGCTCATCCAGCCCTCCAGATGGACGGTAAGAGCCCCTGACCACCGCAGACCTCCTGACAGTTTATTCTCGCAAACGAAAACTGAACCGAATCATATATTGTTAGATCACACTCCCCAGCCGTTATTACCCTCTGCGTAGGCCCTCAAAAACGCCTATTCGCAGCCCACAAAGACATCCTATGCGTATCCCCGTTCTTCGCCGCAGCGTATACCCAAGCCCAGCCGTCAGACTCTCCTAACAGACGGGTGAACCTACCCGATGAGCAGCCGGAAGTCTTTTCGTGTATTCTCGAGTACCTCTACAAGGGCGATTATTACCCCCAGCTGCTGCACAACAAGCAATTGAATACCTGGGAATTGGAAGATACAGGGACCGATAAGAATGGTCAGAGTAATGGAGCGACTTTGTTTCATCATGCGGCTGGAGCGGAGATACTAAGAGATACGGCTGTTTAGTATGTATTTGTTTTTTTTCTTCTGCAGCCCTTTTGCTTTCGCCCCCCGGTTCTCCAATGTATCGGTCAGGAATGGACCATAGACTGACCCCCATATTTCCCAAACCAGCTGCGCAGCCGATAAATACGGACTAGATCTTCTCAAACGCCTAGCCCTCCGAAAACAAGGCCTACACTCCGGCATTCAATGTAGTACCATCCTCACCAGCGCACGCTATGCCTACAGCAACACCCCCGAGAATGAGTCTAAGCTCCGGGCGCATTATCTCGCTTTGATTATTAGGAGCCGGTCAACGTTCAAGCGAAGCGGCACGATGCAAATGGAGATGGAACAGGGGGGAAAATTGTTTTTTGATCTTTTTGTTGCAATGTGTAATCATATGGTGAGTTTCTCTCTCTCTCTCTGTCTCTCTCTTCTGGTTGTTACTAACGTGTATGATAGGATGATCTTACACCTAAGGCTGAGCCTTTTCCGGGTTGTTGATATCCACTGGTTTGGAGTCTTCGTGTGCCTTGTTTATCCGATATTTAATGTATGATGGGATGTTATGCGGACGGTACTTTTATTCACCGATTGGTTCTTTTCGGCCTGTTATTTATATTTTTGTGGCTCTCTTTGTTAAGAGTCAATGCAGGCTGTCTTGGCTTGATGCCATTTTAGATCTACGCTAAACAGCGTGCTATTCACTTCACACGGAATGAGATGTCTTTATAGTGGTGGTTATATGAATATAATCCTATTTATGCTTCCAATCCTCCACATCTTGTACCAGGTATAGTAGTGTAAGTGTAAGCCAAAGAGAGACTATCATCCATGATGTGAGATCCTTAGGTACAATATTGATATTATGAAGCCAATGCAGTGCATCTGATCGTCGTAAATCATGCAAACTTCTAACTTATAGTCATTGAAGATGTCCTTTCTCCTGGCGTAGTCGTCGAATCTATCAATCGAGCAAGAAGACTCTGAGTGACTGGTATTCAGTAGTCTTTCATGATGCAGTACTGTTCATGTAGCAAAAGCTATGTTGTGAATCTAGCCATCAAGGGGTCGTGTACAAGTTGGACTAGGGTGGACATTTGCGCATAGCGCAAAGCGCTAGAAGTTCTGGTGGGGAGGTCGTAAACGCTGAGCAGCGCAAGTTGATAACTAAATCCATCCAGGACCGTCCAGATAATGATCCTCTGGTGATCGAGGATTTTGACGGTATATGCAGACAATATGGAACTGTGTAGACGATCGGCACTAACATGCCTCTTGTCTTAAGTTGGCTGTGATGCTCTTAGACACCTGTTCCTGGGAATGCGGTACCGCCCTTGCTTAGGACCACCATGCCGCGCTCCCGAGCAATATAGCCTTTCATAAGGCCCTATTTGTAGTCAGTGACCGATGATCTCTCGTATAGTGTACACGACGTAGACTACGTGAGAAAAGGTTGCGAAACTTACCTTGTAAATGAGGTTGGATAGCAAACACTCAACCTCGTCAATATCGACACGAGATCTATCATCTGCATGTGTACCTATCCTCAATGCTGCCGCGAACTCGGCAACGGGAACACGTGTACGTCGAATTGGCGGCTGGCCATCCTTGGATTCTTCAAAGCCTCCAGCGATGAAAACCTTTCGGAATAGGTTTCGCAATGCGATGTCACGTCCTCGTTCGAGGGGTAGGTAGATGCGTCGCTTGACAAATTCTTCCTCCCCTGCTGTCATAGCATTGTCGAAGCCATTGAGATCGCCCTTCATGATACAGTTGCAAAGCGGACGGAACAGCTTCTCGAGTCTGGGAAATGGAGCAAGAAGCTTCTTGCTTGGTAAAGTATGTGTCGTGACAAGATGACAAGGAATAAGATAAGCAAGAATCATCCTCCAGGAAGTTAGTTAGTTTACTTGAGCGGGTGTTACTATACTCACTCCCTGTTTTTGACTGCATCTTTGTGACACATGTTCCATGCGTATGCCAGATGCTCTTCGGCCTGTCCGAACGCAAGGGTTAGTCTCAGAAGCTGATAAAGCCTGGGGTTGTTTTTTACCTCTGCATAATTTTCATCCAGAAAGTGAATCAATCCAACATAATATTTAAAGGTGACTATGTGAGACTTGGGGAAAACCTCCATATCCGGAAGGTCTGCCGATGAGGCTTTGAGAGCGCGAAGAAGGTTTTTGGAAAGTGAGACAGAATTGATCTAATAGTTGTCAGATACATACATACTGCCGTGGTGGTGATGTTTTCTGTACCTTGAAATAAGTTTTGAACAACAAATTTGTCGTATTATATATGCCCCATTTGCGCGATTCCTCAATCGGGGCTCTAGTTCAGTGATTAGCAGCGGGCTACAACTCATGCGGCCGCCTATGGAACCCACCTGTCGCTTAGACACAAAGTAAACATTCGGTTGATTATACGTGCTGATTCCTCCAGCTTTGCGCTCTTTTCGAAATCGGCCGCTATGTCATCCTGGAAATTGTCTCCGAATGCAACCGAATCTTGAGACGACAGTTCGGCGTCTGCTTTCATAGCGAAGATTCGCAAGTATTTCCCAACAACGTATAGACATGGAACTGTCCATGCCTGGAGACCGAAGTTTGTATAGCCCCTGATGAGAATATTTGCCAAGTCCTTCCAAGAATTGAAGACCTTAACCCAGCTAGCGCTTGACGGAGAGTCAGTGAATTTGGTAATCTCTCCGACGGCGGTCCAGTAAGTTGAAAAGATATCGATCCATGCATTTTGTTCTTGCTTCGGTAACTTCAACCCATTGGCCTGAAAGAGAGAATAGCGGAGATCTGAGGATACACGGGCAGCATTGGAGAAGCGGTAGAACGATTGGAGTCGTTGGGGGTACTCGGCGGGGGCAACGGGAGTGAGAGCAGCAGCAAGGCGAGGGCCAGAGCCAATTCGCTGGCCTTGAACGAAGTCTTCAAAGATGGTGGCCATAGTGATATGTTCACGAATCAATCATAAATTTTCAGTTCCGGGTTAGGAAGTCGGGCCCATATCGCAGGTATCCGGGCATTTGGCGGAGATGGAACCACGATATGCTTCCTCCGTACAAGTGCAAACATGAGGTGGGGAACGATGCCTCACCGCCGACGGGGCCGATCTTATCAGCCACTGTGGCTGAGCGCCTAATTGGGAATAGTGTCCCTTGCCAAGCCTCAAGGTCGCTTAGGGTGGCAGCCCTAACTCAACGGAAATCACAAATCCCAATTTCACGAACGAGACCCAACCGGCATACCTCTCTCGAGCAACCACAACAGTCGACAAAAGTGAGTCCTACCCTGCCTATCTACCCACCATAATTGAAGGTCTTGTTGCTAACAGATTTACCAGATGGGTAAGTGAAAAAAATCCCTTCCTCGGACCCCTTTACCCTGGCGAATCGGTGCGGTGTATCCCCTTGCGAACGTTGAACGACACAATGCCGGAGAAAGAGTATTTTGGAGGAGGAGTATGAAGATAATATGGGCTCGATTCAGAGAAAGCGATACTGGTGGATTTTCATGGAAAGGGGTTTAGTACGAATGGATGTTACGCACGGTCCGAAAGTTTCAATTTTTACGGTCGCATATCGTGGAAAATAATCTCGACTCTGGAGCATCGAAATTGTCGATAACGTATCGCACGGAACTCAGCGCACCGATTCTCGCCGTTGGGATGATTGAACGTCACGAATTGAAGACTTTGATTGTGCCAAATGACTGACTGGTTATAGGGCGTCTCACCGAGTACCAGGTCATCGGGCGTCATCTGCCCACCGAGGCTAACCCCACGCCCAAGCTTTACCGCATGCGCATCTTTGCGCCTAACACTGTCGTGGCCAAGTCCCGGTTCTGGTACTTCTTGACCCAGCTCCGTAAGGTCAAGAAGGCCAACGGTGAGATCGTCAGCCTCAATGTCATCCCCGAGAAGCGTCACTTGAAGGTCAAGAACTTCGGTATCTGGATCCGCTACGACTCTCGCTCCGGTACCCACAACATGTACAAGGAGTTCCGTGAGATGAGCCGTACCGACGCCGTTGAGGCTCTCTACCAGGACATGGCTGCCCGCCACCGTGCTCGTTTCGGCTCCATCCACGTATGTTTCTGCTGATCGCGAACGATGGTTGAGTTTACGTTGGCTAATAATACCGTGTAGATCCTCAAGGTTGTTGAGGTTGACAACGCCGACTCCATCCGCCGCCCTTACATCAAGCAGCTCCTCCAGAAGGACCTCAAGTTCCCTCTGCCTCACCGTGCCGCCAAGACCGAGAGCAAGAAGATCTTCGCTTACTCTCGTCCTGCTACCTTCGCTTAAATGTGAAATTTTGGGTGTTCGGGGAAGGAGTGTGCGGATGAAATGACTATGTTATGGCCATAGCATGCATGCAGGACAGAGCACGCAGAGAACATGGCGTGTATCTACAACCCAGATAATGGGAGAAATGGTTTTGATGTCTCACTAGTCCTCTGCAGCGACCTTTCTAGTTAAATCTCTTAAAAATACCGGGTTTGTCTTCTGAATGTGACGGTTCTCTACGAGGTGAATGAAGTAAATTTCCTGTTGGTAGACAGGTCACCCCCTACATGCATCGTATTCTCCGCTCGAATGCGTTGTTTTGTCGGTCTGATACCGAAACAATTGTAGGCCTAGCGTCGCTCAATGCTACCCATCTTCTATCCTGTGTGAGATTTCTCACCGTATACCGGCTTTGCGTGTTGGATAGACACGCTTCAAGGCCGGTATGCATTGCGCATGCCTGTCTTTATTTCCCCTGGTTCCATCTACTCCGCATTAGAGACCTAACTAGGACTAATGCCTGATCGGATATATTTCTAATCGGATCGGATATGAGTATGGTTCGGACTCCATGACAGCGGAAAAATATCTTCCACGCACCTCAAACACGACTACGTAACCCGCTGGCCTGTAAAGTCCACCGGCCCTGTAGCGACCAATGTAGATCTTAGGTGTCCCCAAAATCATGCGACTTTTCAGAGCCATCATGCAGCGAAATGCAACGGAATGGAGAATCCTGCGTTAGTAATAAGGCACGGAAGACAGGTATTGCGTCATGTGTAATCGGCGAGGTCGGAGGGCGGGTCCCGAAGACGAAAAGAGCTCAGTTAAGGACCTTAGTCTCCAGCCGTCTTTCTAATCTTCTCGCTTTCTCCTCTTACCCCATTGAACACCCCCTCCACTCTCATTCACTTGCAAAAATGTTCGCCCGTCAGACCTTCCGCTGTGCCCAGCCCTTGAGGCAGGTAAGAATCACTGCATTCTTCTGATACTGCTTCCGGACTTGTGCTGACCCGTGTGCGCAGAGCTTCCGCAAGTACTCTACGGAGGCTCCCAAGTCCAAGTCGCTGGCTCCTATCTACACTGCTGTCGGTCTTACCGGTCTCAGTGTGGGCTTGTACCGCTACTACTATGGCGCTACGGCCGAGGCTCCTGTTGAGCGCGCCAAGGTTTTCACCGGTGGTGACCAGGGGTGGGTGGACCTGAAACTGTCGGAAATTGAGGTCCTCAGTCACAACACCAAGAGACTGCGCTTTGAATTCGAGGACAAGGAAGCCGTCTCCGGTGTCTCTATTGCTTGTGAGTTACTCAGGTGATGATCTGCCCCGATAGCCTTTTTGACGAAAAAATTAGCTGCTCTCTTGACCAAGTTCAAGCCCGTTGGCGCCGAGAAGGCCGTCCTCCGTCCTTACACCCCCACTAGCGATGAAGGTAACGATTGGCCCTTTCATAATAATAATAATAATAATAATAATAATAATTACTTATTACCGTGGCAGACCAGCCTGGCTACCTCGACCTTGTCGTCAAGGTTTACCCCAACGGACCCATGTCTGAGCACCTGCACAGCCTGAACGTCGACCAGCGTCTTTCCTTCAAGGGCCCTCTCCCCAAGTACCAGTGGGAGGCCAACAAGCACGAGCACATTGCCCTGATTGCCGGCGGTACCGGTATCACTCCTATGTACCAGCTCATCCGTCAGATCTTCAAGAACCCCGACGACAAGACCAAGGTTACCCTTGTGTACGGTAACGTCTCCGAGGACGATATCCTCCTGAAGAAGGAGCTCCAGGACCTCGAGAACACCTACCCCCAGCGCTTCAAGGCCTTCTACCTCCTCGACAAGCCTCCCAAGGAGTGGACCGGCGGCAAGGGCTACATCACCAAGGAGCTCTTGAAGACCGTCCTTCCGGAGCCTAAGGAGGAGAACCAGAAGATCTTCGTCTGTGGTCCTCCTGGCCTCTACAACGCCGTCAGCGGCAACAAGGTCAGCCCTAAGGACCAGGGCGAGCTGTCTGGTATCCTGAAGGAGCTGGGCTACGACAAGGACCAGGTCTACAAGTTCTAAATGGATCGGGCTTAGACTAGATTTAGATATGAAGATATCAGTGTATTTTTGAATGTTAGAACATATTCAGTTGCGGAGTATCTACTTGGCGAACGGAACTGGTCCCTACCTCTACAAATATAGACAAGTAGCAAAAGAGATAGATAGATAGATACTAGTAGATATATACATCCACCCACACCCACACCCAGGACCAAATCAATAAATACAATAAAACACAGATCACTGATCCTTCGCCTCCAAACACCCCTCCACCATCGCATCCACCGCTCTCTCCCTCGTCCCCACCGTCAAAACCCCCCTCTCCACCAACATCGTCAACGCATCGCCCACCCAATTCTGACAATTCCAATCCAGATCCTGCCTCCCATTCCGCACCGGCGTCGCCGACACTGCCCGCCGAATCGTCTCGGGACTCACGTCCCCATCGATGTCGCCCACGGGGACCGTCTTCGCCAGCTCGCTCCCAAACTCATGCGGATCTATATCCACGTCTTCCTGGAAGATGAAGAGCCCCTGCGTGCCGACGACGTGCATCGTGCTGGTGGCGCCGGTCGCGAAGGTGAAGTGGAGCGCGGTGTGTCGGTATTCCGGGTAGTCGAGGGGGGAGCCCGTGTAGATGAGGATGGTGGATTTGGTGGACATTTTTATTATATGATTTTTTTTTTTTTTTGTTACTTATGGTTCTGGTGAGGTGTATGTGTTGTATGCCAGTTTTGCTGGTGGGGGGTGAGGGGGTGGTGGTTGGTTGTTGTTGTTGTTGTTGTTGTTGTTGTTGGTTTATATATATTAATATTTAAGAAGAGGTGGTGAGGGTTGGTTTGGTCGAACGGGTCGGTTTCTTGTTCGATTTCTTGTACTATGTTCTGTCGCAGATGGCGCCAAGACTTGTTATCGTGTCTGAACAGTCTTGACCTTTCGTTTGGGGTTGTTTTGTGGTGTTGAGATTGGGGTTGAGTGGGTATTCATTCCGCGGCTGGATTCTCATCTCTAGTGTGGACTACCCTGACATGAAGTATGTTCCCTTTCTCTATTCATTGGGTTCATTCCTATATATCATCCAATCCCGTAACCGTCACACATTATGTACCAGGAAATTATAATAACAAAAAGAAGAAGGAAAAAAAAAAGGGGGGGGGGTCTTTTTATCTCCAGGTTCCGATTTACATCCACTTCCGCTGGACTCCCTTAGGAGCATGTTCCGCCCGCCAGCATGGGAGCCACTTCTTCAAAGCCAGGCTGAACAACTTGCGCGACTTATCCGCCGGCTTGTAACTCAAGTCGTAGTCGAAGCAATGCTCGGCCCTGGGGATGACATAGCCGAAGAGCACATTCTCGGGAGTCTCGACGCCGCACTTGGGGATATTGGTGGAGATCTGCACGCCCTTGGGCGCAAAGGTCTCATTCGACAGGGGCGTCAACGTCCGCCAGGGATCGAACTCGCCCGCGCTCCAGAAGACGTTGGAGGGACGGATGGTCCACCCGCCTGTTTCGGCGTTCGTCTCGTTCGCCTCCGGGTGCTTGGGGAGCAGGCCGCTCTTCTGCGCGCCGGGGAACTGTCGGTAGCACAGGGACTGCTGGTAGGCTAGCGACTGGTACTTGGAGAGCAGGGAGTGCGGGCCCACGTTGTCGGCCTGGAGGTAGCCCCATTCGGTGCAGTACTGCCAGGTCCAGCTGATGGTGTCCGGGTCGGTGAACTGCCCGCCCAGCTCGCAGGTGGTCGCGGTGGAATTGTCCTGGCCCTTGCAGTTGCAGTTGCCGTCGCCGACGGAGCTGCCCCACTGGTTGATGAGGGAGAGCAACGGCGGCCAGGCGGCGAACTTCTTGGTCAGGGCCTGGGGCCCGACTTTCCGGGCGATGCCGTTGGGGCTGGCGGATTTGTCGAGGTAGCTGCAAAGCTGGGAGAGACTTTCTTCGCCGCCTTCGACGCCGTAGCTCTGGAATAGGTTGTAGATGCTTCCGAGCGTGGCGGTGAAGTCGCCGTTGGAGTTGTGGATGCCTTCCTTGCCGAGGAAGAGTGTCTTGATGTCGTCGGCGGCGTGGCCCTTCTTGTCGAGCTGGCTGTCGATGTAGTCGTTGATGGCCTTGAGGTCCTTGGCGCAGCCGCCGAGCCCGTTGGCTACCATGCCGCGGTAGACCTGCTCGAAGTAGATGGTCATGTTGACCCGGGCTTCGACGGGCGCAGACATGGCGAACGAGGCGAAGATGGTGTCCGGGTACTCGTTGCGGGTGAACGCCGCGCGCATGCCCGGGTATGAGCCACCGAGCATGATCCAGGGAGTGGACTTGGGGCTCAAGTCCGTCCCGTTGAGAGTGAACTTCTCAGCGAAGTAAGGAAGGTCAGCTAGTGCCTGGCTGTTGGTGAGGTACTTGAAATGCTCGTTGGGGGTGCTAGTGTTGACGGGGAAGGGCAGGGAGTCCCCGTAGTAACTTCAATCCGGCACGTTAGCGATCAGTCGCTAGAATGATGACTGGGGTGAGGGGTCTCACCGATGCTCCCACACAAGACCAAGTCCATTGAATTCCTTCAGGTACGCCGCGAAGAAGTTTTCCGATCTGCCGAGATACGATTGCGCTACGGAGTAGGCATTGCCTTCACCGGCATCGAGTACGAAGACGGGACCACCGGGCTTGTAGAAGTCCGCTGAAACCCAGTAGCGGTTCTGATAGGTGCCCACAGATGAATCCTCGTGGTCAATTGGAATCTAACCGCTGAGTTAGCTTCCACCTCATCTACTAGAAAGCTTGACAGGTACAGGACGGACATACCGATATCCACCGGGCGGGGACCTCCGAGCCTGAACTGCGAGAAATAGCGGTCTCTGCGATCTTTTCAGGATTGAACCTGGCGGTATGGCCATCGATACCTAGTACCGAGGCGAGTTGCAGACTGTTGGCCTTGATGCCGGGGAGAAAGCTCAAGGCAGCCGACTGGCCCACCAGCAGTGTGAGGAGGGCCGTCGAGAATGCATGCGTGAGGGACACCATTATGGATCAAGAACCCCGGCGACGACTCGCTACGATGCTTTTGGGTCTTTAATTTACAAGATCCCACTGAGGGCGAACTCCCTTACTTATAGCCTATCGACCGCAGCTGGACCCACGTCTTCTGTGCCCTGTTAGCTCCTCATGCAGCGCGGAGAATATGACTAGTGCCCATGTTCATGTCAGGCTAACTGATACTACCCTGCACGGAGGTGAAATTGCCTGAACAGCGATCGGCGCGAGGCTTATATTGACATCGGGCCCACGTAGTCTGAGAGTTTATCATAGGACGAATTATTGCCTTCGTTCTACAGAATCGACCAGTCACACGGTGCTCGCTCACCCGGTGGGGCATCAGTAGTGAGAGATGGTCTGTTGAGCGAGAGTTGGCACAGTTGACTAGACCGTCTCTGAGCCTCAAGCATGCACAAGGCTGTGATATCGGGTTGCCCTAAAGCGGATGTGATTGACTCGGGAGCCCAGTCAACGAGATGTACAGTCTGGGGCCGAAAACCGCCTATTCGTGATTCGATTGCCGGTATGGAATACGAAGAATCGAATTGTTGCCTGATGTACGCCGTAGAAGCACAGTGCTGTTAAATTTCCAGGGTCCAGTGCCTGCAGATCCCTTGACAAATTAGGGTAAATAATATAAGTGTAACGTTGTTATCGGAATCGATTTTACTCACTATGGATGGGTCGTCACTAGATCGCATTTAGTTAGCCCTAACATGATGACTTGTGCATACTAAGACACGGCTTGTTCGGCGTCCCCATCATGAAGCCTTGCTGTCTCTTCAGCATGCCAGTGTGTCAATATTCCATCTTAGATCTACCATCCTCATGCTGGAAAATGGGATCGACATGAAGGATGTCGTGGGGGCCATGCTGGGTTTATTTTTAATTCTGACTGTACACCATCCAGCGAGGCTGTTCAAGCCTCAGCGAGTGCCCAAGCGTCTCATCCGAATCCCCTCTACTAAAAGACTTGGCAGTCCAATCGAACGGGGCCACTCCACATTAATCCGAGTGCAAACGGTCCTCAGGATTCGGGGCAGAGACGGAGTCCGAGCCCATTGCTCAGCAAATCACCGATGCTTTCTCTCCTTCCCCACCATGCAAAGGTCGGTCTTTGCTGGCCGGAGTACCCGGTACGGCGTACTGACAACAGACATGGTCTGCAGAAGGCTCAGCTTGGAGAGAGCTTAGGATGATTTGTATTGCGCACAGCCTCCACCAGGTTTCTCTTACCTTATGCTTTTCCGAAGTCCTCTTGCTGCCAACCAACACCTCTTCACACATAGCGGGGTTGGATGCATGGTGTTACCCCAGAGGATGATGCCCAATTTACCCGTGGAGGAATCTAGAGTTATCTCGCGTAGCCAGGGACGGGTGTATTGTAGTCTCATAAGTATTGCGCGCGTTGTAGAGGTAGTATTACCCTTTGATTTCTCATTTCGTGTACATCCCACAAAGGATCCACGGTGAATGAGCCCATGGAAGATGTATTCTCTGTGAAAAGCCTTGATTAAATTGCCGTTATTGGCACTGAAGGGCGTGTGTTGACCAGATAATGCCCCATCTTTTACAATGGTATATCCAGAATCTTGAGTCTCTCGAGCGGTAGAAAGGGCTGTACGATGCTTCTAGAACTTCTGGGTTGTATGCCTTGTGTCGATCATGACGGTCTGATCCCACTTCGGACCCCGTGCTCTTAAAACTAAAAATGATACTGCTCAGAGTCTCTCGGTCGATATGAAACCGGATGGCAATAGTCGACAGCTCATGAACCCACAGAAACAGTTTTGCCATATTCGTCACTGAGAGCCACATCTCTAATGGGACGCAAAACCCTTCAGGGATGGTGCGCTCTGACAACCGAAACCTGCGAGGATGAGGTAACTGCTAGCTATGAAAGGTCTTCGAGTTAGGCAATGACGGCCCGACGGTCCCCTGGAATGCACCATAATAGATCACTGTCAACCAAGGACAGTCTTTGGCGAATGAACAGCCTTCTCGGCCTCCCACTACATATCGAGAGTTGCTGTGGCTGTGCGGTCCATGAGAAGCGACGCCATGACCTGAGTAGATGTTAATGATCAGCTCGTATAGTACTTCATTTTTGACGATTAGTTCATCATCTCGCTTCTACTAATCTGGGCCACTAGACAAGTCCTTTTACATATCTAGCCTAGTTGTACATATACAACTAGGCTGGCTCAGTAGGAGGGTTACCGCTGGTTATGTTTCTACCTGACAATCTGATGAGGGTTTGAGATAGCTTAAGTGCATCCATATTATTTGCCGAATATGAAGTCAGGATATGTTTCTCAGGAAGTATCTGGTTATTGAATTTCTATTTTATATGAAGGTTGAAAGAAGGAACATCACGCGGTTGAAACAGTGCTCTGTGATCATGGGCTGTCCATATGTTGGTTAGTGCAGGGTTGACACAACGAGTATATATGAGATTAGGATCAATATGACTTTCTCTTGTCAATCAATGATCATAGTCATTGGAGAAACATTTATTTAACCACCGCAGTTTCTTTTCTCTAGACTGATCTTAGTCATGCAGATTGAAGCTACCAAATCTAGTATTGCTGTATATTAGATTCAATCCATATACCCACATATGCTGCCATAGAGCCCAAGTGGGACGGGATGACTGGAGAGATCACAGGAGACCGACAGGGAGTGGTACATTCCTGAGGGGTTCGATCCTTCTCCGCAGGTAGCCAGGTTCCTATATCCAGGGTTCGGAATGATCTGGCCAGCCACTGCAACGACCCGTCGGAGACCAATTGTCGAGCCAAGAGACCATTTTGAGTGCCTTGAAATTGGTATTAATTGATACTGTGGAGTTAAGAGGAGATACTGAAGAGGATAAAGATGTAAACTTAATATTAACAATGTCTTCTGTTTTGCGGTGGTTGAATAATATTTGTCGATCGAGGAGGTTATTAATTCACATAAGAGATTCTTTCGAGAGAGCAAGCGTTTGTCTCTCTTCTTTCTGTTTTCCGAATTACTTAATAGTCTCTATATGGAAGGAAGATATGTCGGTTTCTAACAAGGGAGTCGTATCTATACTACTCTGACACTGACTTCTCGGATCGAGTAATCAGAGTGGCTTAACGTTGATACCAAAGTAACACTTATATGGGGCGTTATCGGTTGAGGAATCATGATCGAGCAGCAAAATAATGCCATTTAGCATTCAATCTCTTAAACAACCCTTCCAGAACCCAATAGTTGCTCTCCTCACTTAGGAGCAGTTCAGTTGGCGCAGCCAGGAACAATGCGTTTAGTAAGAAGCAAAAGAAACAAGATGTAACGTTCAGCTTTAGGAACGTCAAACTTTAAAAAGACCAAGAAGAGTACTATTTAGGAACACACAAAATGAACTACTCTTTTCTTTTGGAGCTCTTCATCTCTTGCCATTGCATCCGACCACATTTCAGAATGCCGAATACAACAATTCCTTCCCGTCCCCGAACTCAAAAGACGTCGGATGTTGCTAAAGGCTTTGTCGATGGCGTCAAAGATTTCATCACAACCCCTGGGGTCATCCCTGTGCTGCTCCACTGCTGTGTTGGTGGTTTCTAGGGCGAGCTTAAGAGGATTCATGTCATCAAGAAGGCGATTGCACGTGGTGCGCAGAAGAACCGACGCCATTGATGTTGCTCCAATTCGTGAAGCCCAAGCTTTAGATTAGCAACAGGATATGCAGTATGTCTATGTTGCTGTATCGAAGATCTAAAGAAACTGCCAAGCATGGAGCTTAAGAAGTTACTTTGCATAGGAGAGGATCTTCATGAAGCCCAATCACCAGACCATTAGGGCTGTCCATCCTTGACTTGTGGTACCTTATAGGTGTGTGAGCCATGAGTGGTGTAATGCCAAAATATGATGAGGGAATCGTGAGATCTGTCTTTGGAGAATTTGTATACACTGGCGAAGACAGTTTATTCAGTTCGGTGAACTATTCATTGACATGTACTCTGCAATGGGTCTGGATTTACCATCCCCCAAAATATAGTATGGGAAGCAGTAATAAAATCCGGAGGCGTCCTGCCCGAGCTTCTTTATAGGTTAGGTATTATAGCGAATGGAATTTCACGGTAAAAGGCAACTTTTTCGATCAAGTCATCAATGGCTCTCTGTTGGTCGTCGACGGTTTTTCTAATCTGTCGAGCTCCGAAAGAAGATCATGTCCCGGTTGGTTTGCGAGGATCCTTGTGGATCCATCCATTCTGACGGGAATTGGGGTAAACAATTCCTTTTCTAATGAAGTTCTGGCTTCCCCCGTGGGAAGTTTCCAGTAGATCAAGGTTGAGCAATGTATTTCAGCTAGACTCCAGAGCCATACCCAAATCCACCTCAAACCCTGAATACAAATCCCATGGTGTCGGAATACCCTATCAATACGCCAGGTAGCCGTATACCCAACCTTCTTACCCCCTGGGTATCGAAAGTGGGATACATTGTCGAGAGTTTCGTCCAAGACGGACCCTGAATATGTCCCTCGGGAGTAGAAAACCTCGTCGAGAGTGCAGATGGAGCCCACGGTGTTGGATTCTGAAATTCGATATTCGAATCAGATCTTGGTCGAAGGGGGATAGGGACGCCGTATCCCCTGACGTTGAAGAAGGCAGATACATCTGTCTTCGTGATGCTGGAGCTTCTCAAGAATTGTTAAAGCCCCAAGTGAGGGTCACTATCAGGAAGATGTCTAGTATTGGCGTATAGAGATCACGGCGATAGGGTGTTATGGCCACCTGCTTGTTTTTGGAACTAACTATGTCTCTCATCCGGTGGATAAATAGATAGAAGTCATGATAGTATATATGAGAGACTCAATCCCTAGGTAAATCCAGTCCAGATATCAAGGGTAAAAAAGCAATGGCTAGGCAAATTCCTAGAAGACAGTTGGTTCTTCACCAGGCTACAATTCAACACCTGCCATGGTTTAGTATTCACGAACTAGGGTCATTGCATTAACGAAATATTGACACCTCTCATGATGGTGCAATAAAGACTAGTAACCGTGAATCGTCTATGGATAGTGACATGAAGTTATATTCTCCTATAACTATCTTTTCCTGGAACTATGATATAGACAAAAGAGTATAGAAAAGGGCTATATATCGATTCAATATAAATATACGCAATTAGGTATGAAAGTGAAGCGGGCTTACTTAACCAAACATTAATTCTCTTGAAAACCCTAGAAACACGTTATTCAATGGCCAGTTTAAACTCCGTTAGTATTGTCCGTGGATATCATGATCCTAGCCTTCTCTAAGAAATGCCTTTTGCCTGAGCTCCAGAGCTTAAAGGACCGGATTCTCTACCATGATAAAGTAGGCTTAAGTTGCAGGTGGAAAGTTGTATAGTTCCAACTAACAGCCATAGTGGGGAAAGGAGGGATTGATTGGCATGCTAGTAGCTACTAGACCTAATTATTAATGCTTAGAAGGTCCGGGGAGGATTTAGGGGGAGTTTCGCGGGAGGAAACTAAACGGCAGATCAACAAGTGGATCCAACTACTGTATATAGATTACGAGGCTGCTACTGTCGATCCATGGCGATACCCGTTCGTTCCTCATGTATCGCAGCATTTTCCCTTCAGTCACTACTGCGTACTCTGCTTCGCTTCATTATCCAATCCTACAAGAAGGACCGTCAGGTGGCTCGGTAGAGTGATGTCTTTAAATGCGATCGCGGAATCAGACGGGTTTTAAGTTTATAACAAGCTTATCGGTATGGACAAAATAACTACGTATAGGAAGACTATGGTGAAGTCTTCATGGTTCAGGACCAGAGCGAAAACTTGATTTAGCTTCGGATATCCTGGAAACCATACCATACTTAAGTCATAGATGCACCCTATCTGAAGGCGCGGAATAGTATTCGCTTGCTCCCAAACGGGAGTAAGTCTAGTACGCCATATACAGAAAATACTAAATTGTTGAATTGATTCTTCATCCCTATGGCATCAACTCACGTAGTCGTACTTTAGCCTACAATATGGGAGACTTTGACCCTTTATGGCGTGTGAGCCTCCGGTGAACCTCTCGCCCTCCCGCCAAACAAAAATCTAGCAAAGTTCAAGGCCTTCATTTGGCGGGTGACAAGTGTAGTAGATGAAACAAATGTTCAAATTATCCTGAGCGACGATGACATTGCGCAGGAGGAATATATAAACCCTTCCAGGCTCATGACATGTTTCATATCCTTGACAAGACGTATTTTATCTCTTCAGCTGTGGCTGCACCCAAGAATGTTGCCGATATCCAAGAAATCATAAAATTGGCCAACGAGTTTGAGATCCCTGTCTGGCCTTCTTCCAAGGGTAGAAATATCGGCTATGGCGGCACTACCCCGAGAGTGCCCGGCAGTCTTGGTATCGACTTGGACAAGAATATGAATAGAGTTTTGAAAGTTGATCCTGAGAATGCCTATGCCTTACTCGAGCTTGGGGTGACTTACTTTGATCTCCATGAGTACTTGGTCAAGCACAACTTGCCGGATCAAGTGTGGGCGGACGTGCCTGATGTCGGTGATGATTCGGTTGTTGGCAAATGCACTCGAAAGAGGTACTGGATATACCCCATATGGCGAACACTGGTAAACTGTTATGAGTAATTGTATCCTAATGAGACCAGCCAATTCGCCTATTCACAGGATGATGCACTGCGGGTTGGAGGTTGTCTTGCCCGATGGTTCACTCCTCCGCACCGGGATGGCGCTTTGCCAAACCCTAAAGCGGACAATAGCAAACCACCATATGAACAGGAGCCAAATGAGAGCTGGCAGATATTTGACTGTAGTCTCGGCCCGCACAGTGCTGGTATATTTTCTCATTCATCTCTTGGAATCGTCGTGAAAATGGGAATTTGGCTTATGCTTAACCCTGGCGGGTATCAGGCGTATATGGTCGCCTTCCCCAGGGACAATGCCTTGGATCAAATCGTGGAGATACTCCGGCCCTTGAGAATCTCTGGGGTAATTCAGAACACACCCAAGCCGGATAACGTCCTGGTTAGCGCTGCCCTGCAGGTATGTCCGACGAGCTATCGAACCTCCTTTATATGTTTCCCACAGTTTACCAGAGTCACCACGCCGGCTACATCAATTCCAACACGCCCTTAACCGACCCCCGGCTAGATGAGGTCGTCAAAAAGCTCCGTGTCGGTCGCTGGAATCTCTACAGAGCGATGTACTCTCTGGTCCGGGAAAGATCCGATGCAAGACGTCGAGCCTATGAGCTTATTCAGGTCCTGATCACCGAGGTGGCGGATCAGGGGTGGGGTGACTATCGCACTCATCTCGCGTTGATGGACCAGATTGCGGAGACTTACAACTTCAACGAGAATGCTTAGATGAAATTGAACGAAAAGTTGAGGAACACACTTGGTCCGGAGGGGATCTTGTGTCCGGGAAAGAATGGTGTCTGGCCTGCCAATTACCGCAAGGAGGATTGATGTCTACATAAACTATAGCATTATTCAACCAATATACTCTGTACATACGCAAGGTTCATGTGCATATTGAAGACTAACAGAAACTAGTTACTTCAAGTTGCTGCTGAAGACCCTGGATAGTCCGACGGGCCGAACCGATCCGCCAAATCAGAACTTCCCATGGCACCGTTGGCACTTGGCAGCAGCAAAAGAAAACCGGTTTCTGTCGAAGATTGGATCAAGGAAAATTAAATTCTTTAGTGCTTCTGAAACACTCAAACCTTTTCTTAGTAACTATTCAGTATGCAATATTCCGTCTTGCTATTCGCTTGGTTGTCTGCTTAGGGTACTGGACCCTGGCTCGGGAGGACTAAACAGATATTGTTTTGTACTAAAACCTTTTGTGAAGACGTGTAGATCGACCATAAAAACACGCGATTTCTACCGAAATAGGATATTAGCATCGATGTTAACCAGTATATTGTCTTCTCAGGAAGCAATTGAAGCCAAAGTGACATCCCTGTATACTCTAACTGTCTAGAATACGTAGAATCAAAACAGGCCCGAAACTCTTCAAAAAGGAAAGCAATCAACAAAAGCAACTTCTGTATTGAAGCTCCACACCGCCAGGGCCATATACTCCGTAGGGGTCTTCCCTTCTCGAATTAACGCGGACACCGGCCGAGTGTAGTGTCGTTGTGGGCGCACACAGCTAAAGTTCTTTCTTTTAAGTGGTTATTCTTCCGATGTTCATTAGCTTTGCCATTCTGGCATCTACATCGTCAATTTTGTTATAAATGACAATTGCATTCAACATGTGCCTTGGTATTCTAAACATTGCAGCTTGAATGAAAAGGGACTACTGTAAATTATTCAAGTTTAGCACTCATGTTGGAAAGCTGTGGCCCGACGATGTATGTCTATTACGTAAAATGATGGACGGGGGCTTCCACAACCCTAAATGTTGGCGTGCGGTGGGTACCTTTGATCCTTTGGATCGCTTGGTCTAGCTGTGCAAAGTTTATACCGCCTAGAAGGGACGTATATAACTCTACAATCTGAGTAATATTAGCTCTTACAAGATGATGGCTGTTGTCGGGGATCGAGTTGATGACTTGGTTCTATAGGTAGGTTTGCAGAAAAGTGGCAGTACTATAGTAAGCGGGTAGATTACCTCTTTGTCTCCATGAGATGGAGAATGAGGCCAGGGTATTTGTGATCAAATACCGGAGATTTTGCTTGCTGCGTGAGGTGATGGGTGCATATGCTGGATCCAGTCTGATCCAGAGTTTGATTTGAGGTGAATGCATGCCTGCTTTTGAGGACTGTGTTCCGTTGATTTTTATGGCAATGTATGCTACTGTAGGTCCTCGAGGAGGTTTGCAACTGATTGCACGTTAAATGGAAGGGTCTTAAGTTATATCTAAATTTCAAGCGACGTAGAAAAGATTCAAAGGAACCGTATTATTGTCTTAATCTATACGGTCCATAGACCCTGTAGTATCAAGTGCACCCCGGCAATGCCTCATGGTGGAGTATCTCTTTCACTGAGTCTCTAGATCAATGGTTTGCTAATGCAAATGGGGAGACTAACCTTGAGCACTAGTTACCACTCCCGGTACCAGCTACCCCTGGTCATCGAGTCTCAGATGCTGGCCAGGTAATGCATACCTTACTAGTACCTACTATACAGTATAGCATGACCAGCCCTTGCCCAAGCCACGACAGAGACGCTCTGGCCCTCGCTTGTCGCCATTAATCTGGCGCATTAAACCTGGAGATCCATCATTGGGCATGCCCATAAGGAGTGGAGACCATGGCACAGTATGTAAAGATTGCGAACAAGGCCGCAGTCATATGGCTCGTTTGACTCTACAGCGTTTGATGTCAATGCTATGCATAGTCTCGCCTCATAGATGCTAATGATCCACCAGGGCTCTGGAAATGTTCCTAGGCATCTTTTGTCTACACGGTCTGCTACGGATCGAATCATAAAAATAGATACTAGTGGGGTGTCTCTGAATCTGCATTGTTGCTTACGCCGCGGGGGCTGGAACCGCCTACTAACAGCAGGAAGCTTGTATCCTACAAGATTGCGACTGCTATTGTGCAGTGTTCAGGCAACAAAATTGTTTGTTAGAATTATCTGTAAAAAAAAAAAAGAAAGAAAGAAAGAAAAAGAAATGAGATTGAGAGGAAAGACAAAAATGCTAAAGGAAATAATTTGGATGAGCACTGGGAAATGAAGAGTAAAATCAACATCCACAAAAGTGGCTACTTTGCAGACCCGGTGCAGGAAGCCCGGGACATCCTGGAGGGAAAGGAGGGTAGACCGCCATTTGATTGGGGGTGTGCCCGCGGTGGTGAAGGCGAAAAGTAAGCGGCCAAGGTCGAGACCCGCGCAAGCCGCTTGGGCATTATGTCATGTTGGTTAGTGACCGCCCGAAGACTGTGGCGACTGCGCCATTTGTTTACCCTTTCCCCCCCCCCAAACGACTGAGAGGGAAGCTGGATAACGATTGTTTTCTGTTTTCTGTTTTCTTAGTACTAGTACCTGCAGAGCAGAAGGTCGGATCAGGGAGGTTAGATTGTAGTTCATATATGACACTCGTGACTTAATCAAATCACAGGCTCTAGGATTGCGAAACCAGCTATATTTGTTTGGAGACACCGTAGGTCCCTCCAAATCAGGCAGAACCTTTCGTCAGTGTTGCGTGAGCTAATGCGCCTGTCCAAAGTTCGGTCGAAACTTTTTCGTTTGAGTTCTGTATCCGTTACCTGTGAGGTGTGCGTTTTTGATTTACAAATTTCACAGATTCGACTTCTCCAAACCTAGGAGATACCCTCAAGAATATGCCAGAGAAAATACGGAATGAGGGAAGGAAAGTCGAAAGCGCCTCAGCAGATGCGAATCATTTCCGGGCACAGCGGGGTACTGCGCAGTAGCTCTGCAGTGCCTGCGCTTCCATGGAGGGGCACGGCAAAAGTACTCTCGACCCGGGACACGACGTGTTGGCGGGGTTTGAACAAAAGGTAAAAAAAAAAAGAAAAATTAAGAGAAAAGAAGTAAGAAAAATGAAAAAGAAAAAGAACGGTTCATACTCCTTATATACACATATATTGTTTTTATTGTCTACCTAAAAAAGGGCAGAGTGTACAGCCCAACAAAAAGGGCAAAACAATACCAGAAATCCCGGGCTGCGCGGTGGAAAGACCGGGGGGTGAGTTGGTTACGCGTTGCAAACAAAAGTCTGTGGGCGACGTTGGTAGTGGACATTGAACACCGTCGGCACAGCACTAGTGGGTTTCATGTATTCTTGGTGTGCGACCTCAGGGGAGGGGCAAACGATGAAGCCTTGAGAGTTGAGTAGGCGCCTGGCAGGTTAGCATGTCTAGTAGTAGTAGGCCTTCTTGGGGGGGAAGAGAATGGGGCCAGGACAGCCTGCAGTGCAACCGAGAGTTGGCCGGCGCTTAAAGGAGGGAGGGTCAAGGACTCAGCACCCTGCGGCTGCCGGGGGCGCTCAGAATCCTCCGGGAGACTCACGGGAGCTCTGAAGATTGCCAGCAGGCCAACAAGGCCTGAAGCACACTAGTGAGCTCCCCGTGCCCACTGTGCTAGGCCCCTAAGCCTAAAACAGCGACTCAGCAGCACTTCAGGCGTTCAGCGCCCATCAGCGCCCACTATTTAGTAGGGCCCTATCCCCCCCTCTACCGCGACCCCGCTAGCGAAAATTTCTTTTCCCTTTTTCCTCGTTCTGAAACCCATTATTCACTCTCTTCCCTCTCTCTCCCTTCGTTCCCTTCTCACCAAACACAAAATTTATCCGAAGAGTCTCTTGCCCAGTGGAGTTTCACTGTCTCTTTAATCATGTCGCGCAAAGACGACACCGTCACCGTCAACATTGACGATTTCACTAGAACCCGCGATAGCGTAAGTCGCCCCTTGTTTACTGTCCGCCGGTCGCGCCCGACTGGGGTGTTCGGCGCAGCGCTCAGGTCTTCTCCCCTGTGCATCACGCGTCCGACTACATAACAACGCCTGCTTTGTGGCTTACTCTTCCCCCCCCTTGGCTCCCCCCCCTCCCTCTCCTGGCAACTTACATTTCATGTTTGTAATTTACCATCAAACCAAACCGGGTAGCTCCAAATCTGGACATTACCTGTAACTTCATATCGCGTTTTTGCGCCGTTATTCTTGTTTGCCTTGATCGAGGCTCTTTCTCCCCCACACCTTCACAATGGCCAAACGCGCCTCGATCCCTGATCGGAGCCAGTCATCATTGGACCTTATTACATCTATTGCCCATGCTACTAATTCCGTCAATACGGCTACCTCCGGCATCCGCGCGGTCGCTTCTTTCTCGCCTAGCCAAGCTCAACTAACGTACGCGCAGGTGATCGTTAGTCTCGCACAACTCCAGGCCGCTGTCTCCAAGCTGTCGGAGGCTTATATCAACCATGCGAACACCGTACTGAACCGCGGCCCGACGGTCGACATCGGGAACATCGCCAGCATCACCAACTCGCTCTATGAAAGCGGCTTGCTGAGCGCCCTCGGTGGTGCTCGCGCTACTAGTCCCGGCGCAAAGTCCGAAGTGGGCGAGAAGAAGAAGCGCAAGCGCGCTCCCCCGGACCCCAATGCGCCCAAGCGCGCCTTGACCCCTTTCTTCCTTTACATGCAGCACAACCGCAGTAAGATCGCCGAGGAAATGGGTCCCGACGCCAAGCCTAAGGAGGTCTCGGATGAGGGTACCCGTCGCTGGGCCGAGATGCCCGAGTCGGAGAAGGAGGTAAGTGTTCTCCGCCGGCCCCCCCAACTCGTCGCAGCGCCATGACTAACTCGCACGGCGCGTAGTACTGGAAGAAGATTTATGCGGACAACCTCGCAGTCTACAAGGAGAAGATGAAGGCCTACAAGGCTGGTCTTCCTTTCAGTGATGACGCGAAGGCCGCCAACCAACTGCAACAGGAGGCTGACCGTGCGGACGCCACCCCTGCTGAAGAGTCTGAAGAGGAGGAGGAAGAGGAAGAAGAGGAAGAGGAGGAGGAGCCTGAACCCGTCCGGGAGCCTACCCCTCCACGCGCTGGTAAGCGTCGTCGCAGCGAAGCTGCTAAGGCTGCCAAGGAGGCTGCCTCTCCTGCGGATACCAAGAAGGCATCACCCGAGAAGAAGCGGACGCGCACTCCCGCCTCAAGGGAAAAGAAGGTGCAGGAGGAGACCCCCGCCTCGGCTCGCAAGTCAGCTGCGACCGAGAACAAGCGTGGCAAGAAGAAGCGCAAGAGCGAGGCTGTCGCGGAAGAGTAAAG